GTTTGCAAAAGCAAGTGCCACAGCCCTTTATAACCAATGCAGATATTTACTCATAAATGACTCTAAAACATTTATCAAATGTGGGACACATAATTGCAGAAAAGATATATTTAATTTCTTTCACAGATAATTTAAATCAAATTTAGTAATTTAAATCCGCACCACAAGAATTAATGTCATAAAATACAATTTTCTTGGTTAGCATTTAAAAATGTGCTTTGAACTCTCAAGCAGTGGTGGGGCTGAAGATCAGGATTGTGCTGATGTTCCTATGGAACATTAAGTGACAAGAGTGATGTATTTTCCGACTCTTTTGTCTCCCCCATGCTGGGTAATTGCAGTCTGGATTCCACTTTTGTGAAGGGATAAGGGCTAGTAAGGCCTTAGTCATTATATCGCCACCAACTTTCCCCTGTAACACAACTTCTGATTTCTTCTGCATCTTTTGATCTCCGGAGCTGACTATGGTTGTGCCATGGAAATGTAGCTAATGAGTGGCAACTATGACTATAGTGTTCATGCACTAAAAATGTGCCTGCTGATCTCCTTTGTCACAAAGTGCAATTAGGTAAACACACAAAAAGACAGATATAAATGTAAGGAAAGAAGTATATACATATGCACTTACCAAATGTGGCCTTGCATTCAGTGCTACGGATACAAACGGTACAGGCTGACTCAACATGGTAGATGGTGAGGCACAATTTGATGACATTCAGGATGTTTCATGAGAATGAAAAATGTCACAGCATTCCATCTCATCTGTAAAGAGAATACGATGAAGAATATAGGTGTTAATGTTTTAAGCATATCAAGCTTTTTGAATGTCATATCTCTAGCCCTGTGGGATATATAGTCCCTTTCACCATTCTCAAGACCAGATGAAGTGAACAGCTCCACAGAGAGAAGTTCAAGAGGCACCCTATTCATATGCCTGAAACACCTCTACTGGCTCCTTTCAATGCAAATAAACAGCTTTTTCACTCTGAGCTTCATCTGGATGTCTGTCCCTAAAGCTGAGCTCAGACACCTTTCACAGGAGACCCATTTTACTGCTTGTATCTGCAATCTTATTCCTAATGAGGGCAGAAACGTGGATAGATACTGGACACCTAGAAACCTGGAGGTTGAGACTTGGTTGCGACTCGGCTGCACACCACCCTAGGACCTGAGCAGATGCCTTAGTTTACCTCAACAGCAACCACAGCCAAAAAGGTGGTCAACCATATCCAACTAGAAACTTTCCTTGGATGCCATTCTCCATCTCTTGCCCTGTTATAATAAAGGGATGAAGAATCCTCCAAATAGTACTTTAATAAAACTGATGCTGTGAGTAGCGTTAGCCTCCTTATAGAATACCTAGTGACTACTGCTTCATGCAATGCAATCGAAGTCAGTTTTTCTATGCAGAGGTTAGTGCTGCAAGACCACTGCCACTCAACAGGCAACACACCAGACCCGTATATACTGATAATGCCCCATAGGTTCAGGTCCGGTTACTAGGTGCTTGCCTATGAGGGCCGTTTCCAGGCCTGCTTCCAGGAACTGGACCAGGTTTCCCTGATTTGACACAGTCACTCCCTCCCAAAACAATGTAGATTGATTAATCATGTTTAGCGAACCCCCTCATCTGAGGCCAGTTTGCTTTGGGAGACGCCTAGCCTACTCCTCCATCATGATGAAATGGCAATACTTTCATACTGGTGTTCTTTAAATGGTAAAAAAAAAAGAACATGTTACCATTTGAACTGTAAATCATTCTGCATGAGCTTAAATGTAGTCCCAACCAGTTACCATTTAGTGCAGCTGCGACATGGTTAGATTGATGGTTACATGCCTTTGGGATCATTTGGTGCTCCCTTTTTATCTTGTTAACCAATAACTTACCTATATTGGAAAATTATTGTGTGAGATCAGGTCAGTTAGGACAAAACAGCGACCATAATGTAGGAGAGAAAATATGACGATGTTCGTGAGACAGTGGAAGGTGTCTAACGACCATTTCACCACGATAACTCTAGGCTGATAATAGGAGAATAACACAGACAACCAGCAGGCTCTGTTGGTCTGGACTGTCAGCTTGACACAGGACAGACAAAAGGGAACAAGTGAATCACTTCCTGCAAACATCTTACTGGGGATCAGTCTCCGAGGTGACAGTGGTGACAACATTGCTGGACTGTTTGTGTTGGATTGTGCCAGTGACGTTTGTTTATTCTAAACCAACGATGTGTTCAATCAACCAAAGGCTCTGGAGCAATCTACCTCAATCTGTGCGAAATTGTGATTTAAGGAAATCATAAGTGATTTATAAAGTGCGCATACTACACTAAAGCCCCACAAATTTAGGATTCATCTTACGAGTGACCTGCAAGTTGTGAGTATGGATTCATGAGGAAAGCGTTTCTGAAAATCACAATGACTGAGCCTGTGTATTCTGAAAAGGTAATGTTTTTGTTGACACACACAAAATAACTGTCTTCAGATTTTATAATAGCTCGATGATCTCAACAATGAAAAGCCCATCGAAAACCACAATGGTGGAGTCTTCCAAAATGTCACATAACATCATGTCTTTTTAGGAAAAACAGATGGCCTTGTTTAGTAGTACTTCTCTATGTTCGGAACAGTGAGATAAGCGAATTATCAGTTGAATGTCAATTCAAAATGTGAAATATGCATGCAAAATTGTAGACTTGGTTTCAGATGAAAAGTGTTTGGTTTTGAACACTGAAAATGTTTTCCATTCATTTTGGAGGTTCTGCTTGATAAATTATTCTCAGTGTGCCTAATATCAACCAGTCTGTGTGCTGTGTGAAGACGGGTGACATCAGGCTCTGGAAACATGATTTTGTGCTTCAGTACCTGCCTTTCCTGATGCAGAGTTCTGCCAACATCAGCCTGTTTGTGGATAAGGCCACCACAGCAGAGCTGTGTCTTGAAGCTGATCTCATAAAAACCAGCTCTGCACGCAGTACAATTGAGCCCTGCCCACCAAATCAAGACTAATTAAGTGCAAACCGACTTCAGACATTTCAAAGGGCAATTTAGTTAAAATGGAGGCATTATTTCCAATGCCTGTGCTCTCCACGTACTAAAAACAGCTCAGATTTACTTTTAACAGCAAACAGAAACAAAAGCACAGCTTTTGTGTGGTCACATAGAGTAACTTTATTGAGATAGAAAATTAAGAGAACTGCTAAAATAAAATGGGTGGTAATGAAACCCAGGCGAAGCAATGACAAAAGAAGGAACAGATGTGTAGGCACCAGAGGTTACTACTTCATACTTTCATCTACGTGGTTATGTTACATCAGTTTCTGAACAGTGTATTAGTCTGCTCAAGAGATGCCACATATTAAAGTACTTTGTCTTTCATGCTGCATCACAGGTTTTGAACTCTAACTGGAAGATTTTTCAAGTGGTATATATTGGTATAATATTAGCACAACGGTCACTACCAGATGAAGCATACCCCAATAGCAACAATGTAGAAGGCCTGACACAGCACTATTGTGGCCTGCCTGGAGGACTGAGCATTCCCTTTGCTTTTTTAAAGGAATAATCTGGCATTTTGAGAAATATGACTTTTCACTCTCTTGCATAGTAGAATTATACAAGAGGATACCTTTGCACAGAGCCAGGCTAGACATTTTCCAGTTTCCAGTCTTTATGCTAAGCTAACTGCCTCCTGACTGTAGCTCCATATTTTCTGAATAGCTATTAGACTGATATTGATCTTCTAATCTAATTTTAGGCAAATAGATGCATAATGGCAAACTATTCAGTTAAAACCTTTGTGCAAGAAACAATGGGTCTGCAGCAAAAAGTAAGCCATGTTTTGGCCTGATTGTGTTTATTCAGCGAATTCTAAGGAGGCCTGGTTAAATATATGAGCATGGTCCGAAATATATAGCAAAATTTGAACATGGACATTAATATTAAGGGTTAAATGAGTTAGGGTCTCTGCGTCCTCCCTCAGAGAGGGATGCGCAGTCAGATGTGAGATCATTGCCCCCGACTGCAGAAGGGTGGAAAATGCGTCATCATAGTCCAGACATCAAAGGCGGCCCGTCCATAGGGGTTAACATCCAAAGGAGGTGAGCAGGGGTTATAAAAACACATCTATAAACACAGGCCCCACCAATGGGCCATACTGTCAGTTATTACTGGCACTCTGTTGTTGTAATAAACTAACATTAGGTAAGATGACGGCGTGTAGAGGCACCACATGCGTAAAAACATTCACACAGGGAGACACCCCAGAGGTGTCAGAAAAACGAGCATGTCAACAACTTTTAATTTTTACTAGCTGATGGAAAAACGAGACTAATGGTCTTACTGACGCTTGACAGAGGGGTCTGGTTTCCCTTAGATTTTAATTAAAACAAATAGCCAACAAAGGGAAACATTACCTCATGAGTGTTACATACAAAGATATGTAATTGTACTATACTGTAACTGAGTATAACGTGCTGAAACTTCTTTTAAATATTGAGCTTTGTTCATGAACAAGCTTGTTAGTGAAAAATTTCACCTCAAGGTCATTTATTAGCTCTATATTAGAAGGTTTTATTAGTTCCAGAGCTTTCAATCATATCAAATTATCTTCATAAGCAGGAGTTTGCCCAGTAGTCACTGAATCGTCTTTCCCTTTTTCTAAGCACTTGGCGGTTTCCATGGGAACAGGACATGACAAAACAATTCATCCAGGTCCATTCATCCATGTTCTGGAGTTTTCAATCACATCATATGATCTTTATGAATGGATGTAGTCGGATATGAAGATGAATGAAAGCTCCAGAACAGTTAATAAATGGACATTCAGACAGGATTTGCAGAGGAGATAGAGTGTGATGAAGACAGTCAACCACTGAGCTTTGAAAATGATATTTTGTTTTTCTTGGTATGATAGTGATAGGTATGCTCGTATTTTAGCGTCCACAGATGTCCAGCAGTATGAAAACAAATTCTCAAAGATTTCCAAAAAATGTCTTTATTTTAAGAAAGTATGCTTCCCGACAGTTACACCTAAATTATTAACATAAACACATTAACAGTCTCTGTATACACAATGATACATTTAGTAACTTAAAACAATCTGTATAAAAAGACTGAAAACACTGTACAGCCACAAGACCGATGACTTCCTGTCAGATACGCCTGCCTCCTCACTCATGTCATCCTGAACATCTGGGTATTATCATTCCAATCCACAGCTGTCAGCAGCCTCAGCTGATTCATTCTCATCTCGACAGTGATGGGTATGAACAGGCCCCGACTATTTCAGTGCATCGTCTTTAGACATGCTGACCTCAGCACTCTCTGGTGTCACTGATGATAATTCAGCTGCCACAGTGATGTCCTCATTTACACACTGATCCCTGCTGCTGTCACTGTGTTTATTAATGCCACCATCAACATTAATGTCCACAGTGACTCCTAGTTCAGCCTTAATCACCTTTACGTCATTAGCCAGGCTTTTGGTATCACCACAGCCATTATCACATGGAGTATTTTCTTCAGCTTTTCCTTCCTCATCCTCTTTATCCTCTTCACTACTGTCTACAATCTCTCCCTCTTCTAGCTCTTCCTCCACTGATTCTCTCTTGGCCCTTTTCTCCTGTGGTGGTTCAGTTTCAGGGCTGGTCTCTGGGGTTTCCGTCCAGATGTTGGTTCTGCCTGTGGTGCGAGACCCTTGCAGGGATGGTGTAACTTGGGTCAGATCCTCCTTCTTTCGGTCCACCCCTTCACTCTTTGTTGCAACACTACTCCAGGCTGACGGAGGCTCAGCTGAAACAATATGACCCCATTTGTGTATAACATGATTAAACACGACTGATGCAAAAGTTAAATTCTTACATGTTACAACTTATAAACTATTGATCAGAGTAATCATTTGCATAGAAATGGTTAGGCACGGCGGGGGTCATGCTTGAACATAAATGCTGAGAAAGAGAGGGTCAGTTCAGATAGTTTGGGAATAATGACGCTATGTTTAAGCTCCATGGTTTCCAGGATGAGGCAGAATGCCAAGCAGTTAGTTATGCAATATAGTAGGGTGGACGTGTATGAAAGAAAGGCTGTAGAATAAATGACTGTAAAATGATAATTGTGAATTATAAGCAATTACTCTCCAACATGATGTCCCCAGTCTGGTGAATCATAAAACGCATGTAATGATGTCCATGAACACATCTTCCTGAAATTCACTTTAAACCTCAGACACTTTGGCCACCACATTTTCCCCTGTATCTTTAAAAAACGGTTGTCCAGCTGAGGCTATAATATGAAAGATTAATGTAACTCACATTTTCTTCTTTGTGCTGTAACATGAGATGCAATTAAAAAGCTTTGCTCGTCTCCCATTAACCACTTGTCTTTGGCAGAGACCATTACTTACAGAATTTAAAGGCCCCACACACAAGTTTGAGTTATAGATGGAGAACGTGCATCCTCAACTGACCATAAATAAAAGATATAAACCTGCTTTGGTCCAGTGTTGACAAACATATGTTTACAAACTTAGATTTAGCTGTTTAGTGAAAGACATGTCAATAAATCAGAACCTATGAGATTTCTCACTTTTGGCATATGCCCTCTCCCATATTCGCAGAAACACTTATTCTTTACACCTCCCACCTTTATATATGGCTGACACATCACTTGTTATTCAAACATTTGTTTTCACACTTCAGAAGCCAAGCTATCTTTACCTGTATAACAAGGCTAACTCAACTATCCTCTTGTCCTCAATCTAAAGCAGACACTTTTGGCTCCCAGCACTAGTTTTTTGGGAATTGGGACTTCTCTCACAATTGGTAGATTTGATGTTTTTCCGACCTTTCTCAAACATTAGAATATTGTGGCTTGATTTTTATTAATGAGGATAACTTTCTCTTTCTCTCATTTTCATGACTTCTTACTTAAACTTGTTCTCCCTCTCTCTCTCTGTGGAGCACCTACACAGGGACAGCTACATTTAGAAATGTGACCTTAAAAGGTTATTAAACAATTTGACCCAAACAATAGCAAGATAAAATGTTATCACAGAGGGGCTGGCTTAGGGTCAATGAGTCCATGAATACAGTCAACCTTGACTGGCTGAATGTAGTTTAAGCCAGAACACTGAGCAGCTGCATGCTGCCTGTATGGAGCCAGCTACAGCCTTAACATTACTGTATCCTCACTGAATATGCGGCGGCCACAGTGTCCTATTGCTTGTTATCGCTTCCTGCCAAGCTTCCCAGGCCATGGCATGTGCAATTATCAGGATGTTTCTGTGGCTAACATTATAGCAAAACAGTGTGGCACCAACGCCTTATCGCTGAAAACATACACACACTCAGACTAAAATTACCTTATTCATCATTCAGCCTGTCTGTTCTGACAGCGTAATGATACTGGGTTAGTGTGGTCTTTTGTGACCATACTCGCCCTGCTGAGATAGACACATGTGAGTAGGAAGAAATCGCTGTATATAAACATCTGACTGACAAACAGGTGAGAAAAAGCACAGGCTGACATCCTGTTTATTCATCTTATGTCATTTCACAACTCATGAGGTCACTGTTCAACAGTAAGCCATGTTTGATCCTCTTTTTGGAAATGGTTGCTGTTGAGGTTAACTTGGTGTGCATGATGCTGTGCAGAGCACACTCATTTCCGTTGGGGTAGCATGTTGCCATAGTGAAAAATACAGGAACAGGGACTCTTAAAGTCTCAGCTGGAGAAACCAGGACATGATACAATGCTGTTGGAATCAGTGTAGCTGAGAAGGGTTGGTGTTTGGGAGCTACGTAGAATTTGGATTCATGTCACATATCCACACTTTTGTTTAGTTACAGAAAGCATAGGTTAAAAGTGAAAAGGGACACATTAGGTTGAAGGTAGTGATGAAGAAATGCTTTTTTGCCAAAAAAGCATCAGTAGGTTAGTATTGGTGCAGAAATTAAGATAGTCCTTTATTAGTCCCACAGTGGGGAAATTTGCAGTGTTACAGCAGCTAAGGACAGCACAAAGAAAAGGGAAAAATGTCAATATCAAACACTTTAAAAAGGATAAATAATAAATAATAATATAATATGTAAGAATTCGATATTTAAATAGCACCAGATAAGGGATGTGGCAATTAATTAGCCCAAGGGTAAGAGGTAGATAACGTTTGGTTTACCTGGTCCTTTCAGTGGATAGTCCTTCCAATATTCTCGGCGTACAACATGCAGCACAGGATATTCAATCAATGTTTTGTAGCTCAGGTTCTCCCTTAGGCTCTTCTGAATGTCCAACTCATGATACCTATTCCAGATAAAATTGAAGCACAAAAAAGACAAAGAGGTGATTACAAGACAACTTAATTACAGCAAGCTAGGTAATTTATGTGACATTAGGCCCATTGTAGGTCATTTCAAGCTTTTAGATGCTAGGTAGCAATGAAGACAGAGCAAAAAATGGCCGCTGTTGCGGAAACTCTTAAACTGGCAGCTGCAGCTTCTTACTTCCAGCCGACTGTGGCATGTTGATGGCTGAAAATCTTTTGAGGATTGATAGAGATTTGAGTCATGGCTTGGCAAAGTCAAGATCCTGCTTGGTGTTCGTCTCAAGAGATGGAAACTGACTTTACCAAGGATCAACAGCATCACTCACAAGCACATGAAGCCGCTGTCTTACCCCTCCCTCAGCTCTTTGTATGAGATGACATCAGTCTAGTCTTGTCTCTAAGTAGTCCTGTCATGCATTAGGGATGGTCATAAATCACTAAATAGTTAACAGGATTCTTGGGAGACATGGGTTGCCTCTAGACTCAACTGATTCAGAACCATCCAGCTTAGGCTGTCATCACCAAAATGCAAGGCATCATACATTTCGGGTATATACAGTAACTGGCACCATCCCCACCACATGTCAAATGCCTGACAGTCTGAAGATCACTGAGCCATTGTTTGTTTTGCTGAAAGCACAAGCAGACTGAGAACCGCCCAGGTAGACACCCACTCCCCAAGCCAATCAAAGCACTCTGCTATAATGTGACATTTACAGGTCTTTACTGAAAGGGCAGCTTCCAAGAAGCCCTCCCTCCTGGAAGAGTTTGGTGGGCTCAAATCATTTCATATGATCCCACAAATAAATGGCAATATGTGTTGGCACTTCCTGCAGGACAGGATAAAGGATCAAAACACACAGGAAATTCCTTGACCGCAGTACAACAAATGGTTTCAGGGTATTTCTGACAGATCTCCACATAAGAAGAGTAGAAATAGCCTGTGTAAAAACGGACACAGTATTTGGCACATGGATAGTACGGCAGAACGAATAAGGTGCAAAAAATAGGGTCAAAGGTTAATTAGTGAGACCAGTTTGTTAAGCTGTTACGTAATAAAAGAAAAGCAGGATATCTACAAGGATTGCATCCCTTTGCAATGTGCATACCCAACAAATACTGTTTCCATTTCATTTGTTTTTATGTCTAACTTGTAATAAATGAATGTTCACGGATGTTTTTTATTTTTGCGAATATACAAGCTGAACTAAAACATAAGTGCTTGTAAACAACAGAGAGAGAAGGGTAGATGGCAAAACAGATTGTGGCTCCCCTGTGGTGTCGATGGGATTGTTAAAGCTCTGGCCATTTCTAGAAACACGGCTGGATGGCTCAGCCAAGAACATGAACACATCTGGTCTCTATATAGTGTTCTAGTGAATGAACAGAACAGAGGACAAAACTGATGTTCTCTTCAGGGAGGTTCCTATTGTTTTCCCCTCCACTGCTGAGACCCATCAGTAGTGAGATAGCTGTGGTAAGGACACACTGAAAATATTTTTGATACTGACGTTACTGTGATAAATAATTATGTTGAAATCTTGGGATAATGTAACGCAAAAATAAATTGTACATGGCTATCCACTAGTTGATACAGTATTATTTTGTAACCGTAATATATTGTGAGAAAAATGTTGTTGTTTGGGTTCATATGTTGAATTTGGACACTTCTTGGATGCTGCTGGCTGCAAAAGGTTTCCAGTGCTTCTGAGTAATCTTCTATGTCAGCTTTTTTTGTTGTTGCCAGTACTCAGTCCTCAGTGTTATGTGTCCTCATGATTCGGACTGATTAGGGCCTCATTTATAAATGCTGAGAATGTATAAATCAGACATTGAGAGATGGATATGCTGCTTACGCCAAAGTTGATATAAATAAAAACCAAAACCGATGTGAGAATGTGCAGATTTCTGAAATCTTTGAGCCATATATATAGTATGGACATGTTGGACAACAGAAACAGCGGATTTACGTAAAATGTTCCACTGTCATTGCAATTCATTATGAGCACTCCACATTAAAATACAAGGCTTACAGACAATCCTGGTCTTCAGCACTTGATTGTTGCTTTGAACTAAAAGCCATCGATCCAAATAGCATATAATATATAGTAGACGTATGCCAACTTCACAGATTGGAGACCATAAGTCATTCATTCCAATGGAGAGAATGATGGACAGTAATGGACTGGTCCCTGCTTGAGGCTGTTGGATCTGTTGGCCATCAGAAGACAAATACTTTGGATTTTTCTAAACTCGGCTTTGAAACCAGACCAGCAGGAAGTGAACAATGAAAGCCCCATCATAATCACAATATTTTAGCTTTATTTAGACAAAAGAAAACAATTTTAACAATTTTTAATGTTCAATTATATTTAAATACGATGTTGATGATGATTATAATGTAACATGCAATTTTTGTTCAACCCATTTTCTTGAAAAAGTATCACCATTTGCGCACTATGCTGATTGTGATCATGAATACAAAACATTCACCATTGTTGAACCACTTCACTAGTCATGAGAACTGAACTACGCAAACCAAGCTTCACATTTTGGGCACAGTTACTGTTTTAGCATTAAGCTCCTCTCAGTTTTGTTCTGGCTTCGATGAAGCTAAGAGCTCCGCTGCGCTGTTGCAGGGGTGGGGATCACATCAACAACAATGGTCCACCAAAATAGCAAAGCAAGTTAAGCGAGCGGCATGTCAAAATTAATTTGGTATTGTACAGATTGACTGTCACAAGGTTATAAAAGGGCAATGGCGGTGGATGCATTATGGTGCATTTGTGGCACAGAATATTTTGGGGTTGGGAGAGACTGTCAGAAAGTGTGTGGCATTATTCCCTTATTGGACAGATATCGCGCATCTTGTCCACTCTATGACAGCATCCCTTTCATCCTGCCTTCAAGCAAGGCAATTCAAAACCTGTATACACACTCTTGCCTTTAGATGTAGTCTGAGGACACTTGAGCTAGTTTGTTTTGCAAATAACCCGACCCCTAATCTCCATGCACATCTGAGGCTGACTGGAACTTAATTAAAACCAGGATGACCAAAAATTTACACAGGCAGAAAGATAACCACAATGTGACACCGGACAATTATTCAATGCTACCTGCTGCTGTTCATGCCTTGCTATTTTAGTAACAATACCCAAAACCAGTCCAACATTGCAGGAGACCTGAGGAAGCATCTGCTGCACAGAAACAAACTTGAACATAGCTCTAGGGAAAGCTGAGGGAGAGCGGATCGACAGGCTCAGGAGGGCTAAGGAGAGGGTTTTGCCACAAATATGTGAGAGAAAGCACTGCTGGGGCAGGACAGAAACATCAGTGTCTTATGGGTCCAAATTGTGGTTTAAAAAAACAGAATGCACACACAGAGGTTTCCTTTTTTTTGGCGGCAAATGTAAAACCAGCATCTCTACTTCTGACACGTCAACACCGCAGTGAGAGGAAAAGAAGAGGTAAGGGAAAGGGTGAGAGGGCATCCTCTGGATCTCAGGGGTGGAATGAATAAAAATAAACATTAAAAAAATTACACAAACAAACATCCAGAAGGATCTGAATGGTTCCCGTTATGCAAAGCCTGTCTTACTTCCAGTAAGAGGATGTTGACTGGTCACAGATCCATGTTTAGTTTAGCACAAGAGCTCCTTTATTTGACTGGGTTGATATTCCCGTAGACACTCAACAATAAATAATGCAGTCATACCCTTTGTGTAAGGCTTGGTGAATGGCCTTCAAGGAGCCATGACCACTGCTATCCATGACTTCATAACATTAATGATACAGGTCAAAATTAGGGGGTTTGCCTTTAAGACTGCATTATTCAAAAATGTGGAGGCCCCTTTGTGGTTGCAATGCTGTGATCCTGTTTGGGACCCTTAAAATGGGATGTGACTTCAGTCTGGAGGGCCTCTCTTCTTATTGGAGAGATACTTTGGACATGGTCCTGTTATGCAACTGTACCAGTTAACGTAAGTTAATTCTCCCTTGGGCAAGCATCCTAATTTTGCCCTACTTCCATTCATCCATCCTCAACATAGTGTTGACAATAAACACTTACTAAGAATTGAATTATAAACTTAACATTATGCAAACCCCATCCTAAAAGCTATTAAGTTATAATAAGAAAAGGTTACTGAGAGAGAAAATGGGAGGGAGAGCAAGATTTATTCCACTGAATTACTACTAATTATCTCCACTTGTTTGCCTTAATGACATTGACTGTATCTGTATCAGGATAATAGCTATTATTAGTCATTTATAATAAATTTCAATGGAATTGGGTAACACTTGTGGATTGGAACTGTTATGACTCATTCATCTAAAAATTCTCAGGAAGAGCCACCTTGAGGTGACTACTTCATGGTAACACCCCTGAAGTGAAGTGGTTTGTGTACATGGAAACGTGCAGTCAGAAATTGAGGTTCTTGACGCATGTATTTCTCTCAACAGGCATTAAGTAACATTACATTAAACAAAGCCTGAAGGCACATACAATACAATAAGCTAATATTGTAACAAATTGATGCCTGGTCCTTTTTTAAAGCAGGATCAGGCTGAACAAATCATGACAGAGGAGGTTCTGATTGTCCATGGGAAAATTTTAAAAATTGTGTACTTGATTAGTCAACACTACAGAAGTCCTTCTCACTTCATAGTGCTTCTACTCTCTTTCACTGGTTGGCAAAAACGTTTTCCTGAAGTCTTTTCGCATCTGTTTATGCAGTTAATCTGAATGACAGCTTTTTAAGCTTCAGCAGTGATGTACAGTACATTTCCCTCTGAAAGCACGATGGCAAATGCTGACTGCAGATTTCCTTCAACCCTGACCAGTCTCCTTGCCACCCTGCCACCATTATGCTTCACAGTTGGGACAGTATTGGGCAGATGATGAGCGGTGCTTGGTTTCCTCCAGACATGACGCTTAGAATTGAGGCCAAACAGTTCAATCTTGGTTTCATCAGAGCAGAGAATCTTAATTCTCACAGTTCGAGTATTTAATGTGCTTTTTTGCAAACTCCAACCTTCTCTGCCATAAAGCCCAGATTGGTGGAGTGCTGCAGTGACGGCCAAAGGCCCCTCTCCCCTGACTGCACAATTCGGCCAGGCGTCCAGCTCTAGGAGGAGTCCTGGTTGTTCCAAACTTCTTCCATTTAAGAATTATAGAGGTCACTGTGCTCTTGGAAAACTTCCCCAGATCTGTGCCTTAACACAATCCTGTCTCTGAACTCTGCAGGCTGCTCCTTAGACCTCATGGCTTGGTTTTTGCTCTGATATACATTGTCAGCTGTGAGAACTTATATAGACAGGGGTGTGCCTTTCCAGGTCATGTCCAATCAGCCGAATTTACCACAGGTGGACTCCAATCAAGGAAGAGAAACATCAAGAGGATCTAGAGAAATGGGAGGCACCTGAACTAAATTTCAAGTGCCATAGTAAAGTGTACTTATGTCAATGTGATATTTCAGTTTTTCCTTTCTAATAAATTTGCATATATTTATAAATATAAATATTTGCACTTATATTGGGGTGTTGAGTGTAGCTTGATGAGGGAAAAAATTTAACGGTTTGTGAACAAGTGAAGGGGTCTGAACACTTTCTGGATGCACTGTAGCTCTGGTTTCTCCTATGAGCAATGAGGCATGTGCTAAAATCATGAAACATCTGCACAGTTGTGTCCTATTACACACACATGCCTGCAGTATACAATATACCTATCACTACCACCAGTGATGGAAGGGAATCTACACACTGAGAATGTGGAGAAAACCCCGGGTTTATCAGGCTTTCACAATCCCTGTTCTCTGACTTACGCTTATGTAACATTACGGAGGGGCACAAGTGTGTCTTGTTTGTGTGGTGTGTGAGCATAATAAAGTCTGCACGTATATATTAACATGGAGAAGGAGAAACTAATGCTTAAAACCACGCAGGAGGCTTTAATGTGGTAGTAAATAATGCTTTTTGTTCAGAAACAAATATCTATTATATATTGATTGACTCATAATGATTAGAGCTTAGCGTTGTTTTAATTTAGATAGTAAAAATGTAAATGTAAGTATATATTTGAAAATTTGCAGGAACTTTATGACCTCATGAGGATTATGTTTCTTATCTATCTGTGATTATGAAGTATTACAAAATACCTTGTAATTTACACAGTGACTATAATGTAATCATAAAGCTGGCATTGTGACGTTCTGTGGCATTAGAGATAATTAAACATTTAAAAAGCATTAAAACTTTCATTCAATTCATAAAAGAGCTAAAAGGTGACAGCCTGACAGCTCATGTTAAATCTTGGCTTGCACTAAACTGTCACACCTCTAAACTCATCTCTCAGTAATTCCTCTCTATATGCTGCCATAAAATATAATTTATCTGTTTAAAAAGTGTGTGCGGCCCAGCCTACCGGGCAAAACAAAAGCAGCATGAGTGTGTGTTACAAGGATGAAGGATGGGATGGGAGGTTTCGTGACGTTTCGTGCTGGCCAGGGGGGTAATGATTATGAGTACCGAGGATCATCATTCACTCCATGACTAAGTAGAAATGGAGGACAGCCAAAGAATTTGAAAGTAGGCGAAGCAAATGGGTGTGATCAACACCATCCTCCGACCCTCATAAAAAAAGAAAAGAAAGACAGATAGGGCAGGAAGAGAGAGTACACAGGACAGTGAGTGAGTGAGTGAGTGAGTGAGTGAGTGAGCAGGGATGGAAGTCGTAGATAAAAGTTGCAGAGCATTTTCTTGATCAATGTCATTTCTCAAAGTTGAAAACTCCTTCAGGCCTCGCTTCCCAAAGTCTGTGTAGCTTCCTAGGAATTTACAAGTCAGCGATGTCATGTTGATAAGACAAATAATGTTGATTTCACACATGCTAAATAAATCAGTCATCACTGGCAAGCATAACCTAACAGTCAGATGCGTCAGGATGCCTGAGTAATGAACGGATACTGACACACTTGTAAGACTGGCATTGTAAGATTACAATGCAACATCTTTGGTTGAAACTGAGCATTTTTCATGAATGAGTTTTGTTTTACCAGTTTATTTTATTGTAAGGGGTCATTTTAATTACGTTGAAACCCATCCTCTGCATTAGCTCCACTGCCTTTAGCTGTGCAAAATTCCTGTTACACTATTTATAATTACACTACAACTAAGAATTGTGTAAGAACTGTATGAACAACCAAGTCAGGCCTGATAATGAGACTCTGAAGGGGCACTCAGGTGGTGGTTAAGTGGTTGAAAACACATAACATGTAACCAGTGTCCTCTCTCCCTGAGTTTCTCGCTTTTCTATACTGTTGTACTATGAAAAAAGGCAAAGATAACTGACAACATAACAACATAACCAAAATGGCTATGAAGCAAATGAATTAACATTTTTGCATATTATAAGCAACAAGGGACCTCATGATTGGAAAAGCCTTCCTTCCTTCAACTGTATAGCTGTGGATTAAACCCTGTTAACAGCAAGTACCCACCTTATTCAACCCAGGCAGATCATGAGCTCTGTTTTGACCTTGCAGTTTAAATGAGTAGGGAAACCTTAAATATACGTGTCCCATGTTAACCAAGAAAGTAACACATTACTCATCATGTGAACTAAGACGGGGACCAGTAGAGAGCAAACCTCACCTCACAGAGTTGGCCTTTCTCCCCTCTGCCTTCATGAAGACTTTCACATGATCAAATGGAGTGTGCACATACATCTTCAACCTGAAACAGAAATTCACATCAACACAGGGGGTCAGGGACTCGAATCCAATCTCACCTAAAAGAGGCAAGAACAAAAGAGATGGCTACATTGACTGTGCAGTTTTTAAGGTGGCCACAGTAAAGGTCAAAACACAAAGGGCTAACTGAGTGTAGCACAGCAGAGAATGTACACTGTACAATGTACACTTGTCTGGCATGCTGACTGATATATGTATAGGCTCTGACTGAAGTATCATGTGTAGTGGACAATCGTCCATGCTGCTGAAACTAGACTAAGCGGAGGCTGTGTCTAAATGGCTACCTCTGAGCCAAGTCAGGTGTCTGTTTAAAGAGGTAAACCAGTCTACAATATGCTTTGTTTTACAGCAGACCGCTTGCCGAGTGTTATCGGCAGAAAGCTTAGGTCAGAGGAGTCAGATCGCTGTTCTGTTAGAGGTTCAGATTAGAAATAGTGTTCTGCTATTAAAAAGTCTGCCTTGTTCAAAGACTGACGTTCATGTTGGGAGAAATATGAGCCTGGGAAATAAAAAGAAAAGTGAAGCAAGAGCAAAATTACAAAGATAAATGTAGGAAAGTAAGATTGCGGGAATTAGACAGAACATGAGGAGAAGCCAACCGAATCCTGTGTGAGTGAAATTGGATTGAGCTGGTTGATATGAAAGATCAGGATATAAAATGACTGTTGAATAAGAGAGTTTCTGTACATTCACTCCCTGAATCATCTCCGCCGTTGTACTGAAATAAATGTAACCATTTCAAAGCAGCCACTCCTAACCTATTCATCGACTCAGTGGGAAAGATTTATATTCAAGCTGAGCACAATTGTGACAAAGTGAAATGGCACAGATCAAATGATACATGTTCAAATTCTACAGTTACAACAATTTCAGTTTTAAATAGAAAATATATTAGGAATTTGTTGTTGAGAGGAGAAAAGAGTTTTTAAAATAAAGCACTTATTGAACATGAATGTATACAGGGCTCTTGTGCATGCAGACTGATTTGTACTCAGTCTGTAACTGAGACATAATCCCTGAACACACTGCTGCCAAACTCAATTACAGGGGCTCTTTTCTGGCGTGCAGGCAACAGCGGACCTGCTACAGGTCATCAAAACCTAAGCTGCAGTCAAGAGTACAAATGGCTGATGTTTTTAGATAAAGCGACTAGTAAGTAAATCTGAAATATAACATATGTTTTAATAAGGGCTACAACTAATTAATTGTTTAGTCTATGAAATGTAAAAAAATATTGAAAAGATCACAGTAATGTCTTCATTTTACTTGTTATTTCTGACTAACAGTCTAAAAACCTTAATTACTCAACCTACTGTTACAGATGATGAAGAAAAACAGTAAAATTGTTCTATTTGAGAAGCTTGAACCTGGAGTGTTTGGCATTTTTACTTGGAAATTATTGATACAATCAATTGATTATTAAAATAATTTTCTGTTGATTGACTAACTGAGTAATCGACTATTCTAATCAGTTTTACATTTAACAACTGATTCATAATGCAGCAGTGAAGTTCGTGCTGTTTTAAACTCAAATAAACAATACAAAAAGCTCATACACTAAGCATCGTGTGCAGGACAGTATGATGCATTAACAGATGAATGTAACTGCGTCACACTGGTGTTGGGATTGGGGGTAGAGTTTGATATTATACCATAATGATTTATAAGCATGATACTGTACCATGCTGCTTAAAGTACAGATATCACTATAGCTGCATTTCAACAGCAGTCATTGTGAAAAATTCAGTCAGCTTTGTTTTCTCCGCTCTCTTTTGCAGTTGTTATGAACAAGAGAAACCACCAACTGAACACAACTTCACAGCTGTTGCCAACAGTAAAATTGCTCATTTGAACTTTTCAAGAGAAAACAATGAGCTGAAACGCAGTCATTATCCTTAAAGTTAGAAATCCTCCAAACCATATATCAAGCTAGTGTTGATTTCTAGGTCTATTATCACATTGTCAAGTTTTGTGTTTCTATTCACGACTTCAATGAATGAAGCAAAACAACTGGTGTGGTGTGGATTGGTTGAATTTCTACCACTGAATGCAACACAATCATCTTCAGTTTCTGGCTTTGCTCTAGGATTCAGCAGGAACTGTGGTCAGTGGCAATACATGAACTCAATCAAACTAAAATCATGGTGACAAAGCAACATATAATAATAACATTAACGTCTCCAACGTGATCTGTAGTTACAGTCTTATGTTAACTTACACAAACCATAATCACTTCAACACAGAGAGGTTCAAAACTGCCATCTTTCCTATTCAGGATTCTTCAAGTAGTTTGTCTATCTCTTATAAGGACTCTGAAAAAGTGGTATTGGATTTGTATGGTGAGTTCGGGTATCAGCGTCAGTATCAAGAGTGAAAAAGTTGGATCGGGTTCATCCTTACAAACAATCACAACAAAACTATTTCATGGAACTTAAATGTAAATGGGACGAAGCTCACTTTTGGCGTGTCACAGGGTCCGACTCTGTAGGGTGGATATAAGGGGTCAAGATCTGGTTCAAGGTTTGTCTGTCAGACACCCTAAAACGAAAAACAGATAGTGGAGAAAAAAGCAAATATGTGAACATCAACATTAAAATCAAGTCACATCATGGTCATAACTTTGATAACATTTCTGTGAAGTTTAACAATGCTGTATCAACACATACATGAGCAGAGAGCAGTATACACACAAGATACAGTGTATCTATCAAAATGCAAAACAGTTATTGATACGTCACATTGGTGCTACAGCAGAAATTTTGATGTGTATCGAGAAAAAAGTGAAGGAGAAAGTGAATAATGTTTGGTAACTCACCTCCTCTGACTGAACTCTGTGCTGCTCTGAGGAAAGATGAGCTTCAGGTGCCACAAGAACTGTTTTTCCCTGAAGGAGAAAAAGAGACTCATTTTTAATTTCAGCTTATCAAAGTGTTTGATGCCTGTTTTTCAACAGAGACAGATGAGGTCACCAATGCTCTCACGGTACCCCCTTCACAGTCAAACACAAATGTGCTTGTTTAAATTCACAGCATAAAATGGATTCAGTCTTAATCTGTCCAAGACAATACGCCTGGCTGCTTCCAAGATCTTGTCCATCTGTGTGTGTGTGTAAATGAATAAACCAGAATTGCCATGGAGACCGTGACATATACACTCAATACAAGGACAGCAGCTGGTGGATATCACATAATGATCACCTCTTCTGGGGTAATGCTTTGGGGCAGTAACTATTAAACGAGGTTGGGTTTTCTGGGTTGCTGGGCGTGCTCTACAACCAAACATTTATTCCCTAAACAGCTGCTGTGCTCATATCTACTACTGTCACCATGATGCAGAAATAGCCAACAAAATGTAATATATGAAACAGTTTGGGAGATACGAATAACAAGACGTAATTCCTCCCTTTTCAATCTTTTAAAAGTTAGAGTAATTATCAGTAACTTGCTCACTAACTGAACTCTGGCAGCCACTGCACCATTTTGTCATGTTTGAATAAATTGGACTTTACAGGGATGACTCTATGTAGATAAACCCAAGTGAAACACAGAAATGTACAACTGTTACTGCCCCTATGAAACAGAATATAGGTCATTGGCAAAGCATCAGAAACTCCAGGATCATATACCCCACATACTGGGTGCTGAACATAACTACAAGGACTTGTGTTGACCAAGACCACAGAATTTGCCATATATAGGGTGGAGCTGATTCATCAACCTCTACTCCATCAGGGTACGAGGATGGAGGCCTTGATGGATCTGAGGAATGAAGATGAAACATACCCTCAGAAAGACGCAAAGTTTAATTGTAAGGCACATGCAAGAAGCCTTGTTATTAGGGCTTTAGTACTCACCAAGAGTGATTCAGAGCACAACTTGGAGGTTTCTTTTGATATCTTTAATATAAAATTTTTTGTCTCCTTTTAAACGTATCTAAAAACAAAGCCCTGCACAGCTATCTGCACTAACTTTTCAGTTCATTCTGGAGTTCAGGAAAATGCTTTTCCTTTCAAACAAGATGAAAAATCAATTGCTACAGTTCAATCATATTAATATGCTCTAATTTAGTCATGTGTTTTCTATGTTAACATATGGGCGGTTTCATGATCAGTCAATTCATTCATAATTCAATGCACAAACCCCTATACTGATCATTTATTTATTATTTTATTCATTATTCAAGAAGAAATGCAAATAATGATCTGGTTATGGCCTCTCAGTTGTGAAGATATGCTGCTTTCTTCTGTTTTATGTAATTGAAAATTAAATATCTTTAGGTTTTGGATTGTTCATCGGACAAAAGAACACATATGAAAATGTGACTTTGAGGACCATTTATAACCATAAAGTACTACATTTCCCCCAATCTCTTGGTCTCTATTTTACTCTGGGCCAAAGTGCTGGCCAGCCAGACTGATGGACAAACCATAATGCAATGCAGCTACATCGCGGCTCAGACGCAGTGATGTCAAAGGACTTTGACCTGAGAATATTTTAGACACATATTTAGACCTAAGATGGAATATTTATTCTACATCAAATCTATGTAATAGCAATATAGGTTACGTTCTCTTGTTTTGAAAAGAGTGGTTTGACATTTGACACAACCAGCTTTTGTTTGTACTTTTTGTGTTAACAGGCACAAGTTACAATGAACCAGCCCAGGATATACTGGTCAAATAAATAAAACAAAGCAAAAGATATGATGTACATGTTCTGAGAAACCCCAAAACCACTGGCTCAAGCTGCTCAACTCTACTTGACACCAGACACAGTTCTGGTGCTTGTGGTGTTGTTTTGTGGATCCAGGTGGCACCATTATACAGCAGGGGGTGTGTTTTTTTCCCTTGAAAAGAGAAACAGGATGGGTAGGAGGAGTTCAAAAGTGGGGAAATATGTGCAGAACACCCCATGAAAGGTGGTTATGAGTTTCCACCTGGTTGTAAGGAGAGGGTGAAGGGGTGAAGCTGTAGGAAGTGCAGGCAGCAGCAGGTACTGTTTGGGAGTGTAGACAAGGGTCGGGAGGGGATTCCCTACGTAACTGTAGGAGGCACTTTACACCTCTAACCCCTTAGTCAGAGGAATTTATGTGTTTGCTTAGGTTTGGCTGAGTTTCTTATTTGGTGCGTCAGTGTATGTGCACTTATGTATGTGTGCAGGTGTGTGTGTGTGTGTGTGTGTGTGTGTGTGTGTGTGTGTGTGTGTTTGTATGTGCAAGCAAATGAGGGTGGAGCACCAGGTGTGATGCCATTATTCTGTCATTACGGCAAATGGAAACTATGTATTCCAATGGAAAAGGGGCTTGCCCAAAGATGCATGCAATCATTTTAGGCAAGGCCGCAGTGCATACCTGGGATAAGTGCCATCATTCATTGTCGGGAAAAATGAGGCGAGAGCAGCATAAAAAAGTCAAAACAGAAGCACCAAAAGTAGAGGATGACTGCTATGAATACCAGAACCTTCTTAAAACTACCAGAACACACTGCCTGGTCCCTCAACAGTTATTGCTGCAGGGCCCTGAGCAAGGTTTTTAAACTCTAAGGAAGAGTAGTGGCAAACAATTAAAAGCTAGCCATGCAGTGTAGCTCCCTCATACACACAGGAATACAATTAGTCCGGAAACAACATGCCCATTTCAAAAGATTACACACTTCAATCACACAAAGATTATATTGAAAGGTTCATAACCGCTACAGAATTCCATGGCAAAGGAAATCTGCAACCTTACATGGCCCTACATTTAAGGGTATTTTCCTCCAAGACGGATTATTCATCAAACAACTTGTTGGGTCACAAGAACTAAGCCTAACTGAATGCAACAGGATTCGTACATAGCCAGAAAAGAGTGGGGACTAGAATTACCACTGTGAAGTTGTATGCCTCAGCCATCCAGCCAAGTTGCAGGAATTATGGTCATAATACCCACTTCCTGAGATATAGCATTGAAGAATGGCCTGAAGTAAGTGTTTTTCCAGAACATTCTGATGTCACAGTGAAGTTGACCTTTGACCAATGGGGTATAAAATGTCATCACTTAATGTTTTTCATCACTTCATTGTTTTATCCTAATAGACATTTGTCTGTAATTATGTAATTATATCATTATTAGGTCACGTGACCTAGAACTTTGACCACCAAATTCTAATCAGTTCATCCTTGAGTCCAAGTGAATGTTTGCGCCAAATCTTAAGAAATTACCTCAAAGCAGTCTTGAGATATCACATTGAAGAGGCCAAAAACATGTTTTGTGAGGTGACTGTGACCTTGACCTTTGACCGCAAAAATCTAATCGGTACATCTTTGAGTCCAAGTGGACATTTGTACCAAATATCAAGAAATTCCCTCAAGACATTACTGAGATATCGTATTCACGAGAATAGGACAGTTAATCAGTGGCACAGTTTTAATAATAAAACATGTTTACATTTTTCCACTCTGTTCTGGCCATGTGCTAATCTCATTTTATTAAGTTAAGCTTCTTTGGTCCAACAAGCTGTTTGATGAATAATCCCTTTTGGTGGAAAAACTGTCCATTAACAAAGGCCATGTTAAGTGGCAGATGGCTTATTGCATGGACTTTAGTGTAAATGTGAAATTTCTAGAAATAAATCTCTTAAAAACAGGCATGTTTTCATTACTTTCCAAAACAGATGACCTGACAATTATACCCACTTGCACATGCAGTGATTGGCAAGGTGTGTGTGTGGAAGGAAGGTAGTGTTTGAATGTGCCTCTCAAGCTGTCTTATTTTCTTCTTCACAAGGCTACCGCTGTCATTTTTCATGTGTACAACTAAGTGCATCACTATGAATGCCTCTGAGGAGATGCTGTTCTTGTATGGTTCATTACTTTGAATCAACAAGGACATACAAAGGTTAAAGAGTCTTGGAGAGGGATCAGGTGGCAAGCTCTTTTTCTCTGCTTTCAGGTTCAGCCATTTAAACAGGTATAAAATTTTTACTTTGGATGTGGTCAGATGACATGCCATACAACCTAGTTCGTCTTAAGTATATTGGACCCTTTGGCATTTCAGCATGCAAGTTTGGCTGCAATGATCCATGAGGGACACTGAGAAATAAAGCAGACTCAGAGGAGGATGGATGAATTCATTAACAAGAACAATGTTGATTAAGTAATTGGAGTTGGTCATGCCATCAACACAAGAGAGAGTAGAAAGCCTGACGGGTGGTCTGGCAGTCAGAGCAGAAATCCATCTGGCTGGATTAAAGATTGGACAGATCCAACTAAAATGGTGCAACATATGAAACCATGTGTCCCATGTATCTGCCCATCAGGGGCAGATGCCAGGACTGGGGTGGCAAGTGGGTGTTGGTGGAATGAGATGACAGGACTTTGGGGCCTCTTTACTGAGATACGACAAGTAAATCCAGTATCCATAGCTATGGTTCCACAACTTCAGAGGGTGGAGTGGCTGAGAGGTTGATGGACGAAAGGGAGAGGAGACAAAGATTACAGGCAGCTGCATCTTAAGACTCCTTCTTTATGTTCTGGCTTGAACCTTAGTTTTTGGGCACATGCTGCAACGTTAAGTCATGAGTCTGCTTCCCCTGAAAAGTCCAGAACACAAAGATGCCAACATGTGTTGGGTCTAAGTATCTATGTGAATGTACTAGGACAACTAGTCCGAGGCTTTGATGAGTATTACTTGCGAGAGGAGAAAAAGGGGTGACATTTTTGCTACTCTTACATTCATACCACTAAGGGGAAAAAAATTTTAAACTTGAGTCTGTTACGTCTGGTCATAAGCTTTGGGTGTCCAATCATGAATCACAAGTTAGACCAGCGGAATGTTTGACCCGTTTATTGTGCTAGATAAAAGGATAAATAATAACCCAGGTTATTAGAATGAATCCTCAGGGGACCTTGAAAGTCTCTACCACATTTCAAGGCAATCTATTCAAGAGTTGTCGATATATTTTACCAATGTAGCCACCTCTAAAGCTAAAGTAACAGTGTAGATTAGAGAAATTAGTTTCATGGCCAAAAGTCATTAGCACTAAAGTTCTTCTGTCCAAGTACAAAACTATATAATTAATTTTCAAGAACACATGGAAACCTAATTATTAAAATTCAGTCAACCAAACATGACACATGGCAAGTTGATATTCTCTCTCGCTCATGCAGTACACTGACATCTCTGGTTAATTTACTGTTTGGAATTTCACTCAGAGCCAGAGAGCAGTGTGTAGCCCACAGTTATGTGGCAAATTGTGATGACAGCGTTTGCAACACTGATGAAACTGCTGCTTGCCATTCTGATGTGAGGTTTGCCTCGGATGGCAGCCGGCGTAGACTCTGTTCTGCATCACCAGTGGTTAATCAAGCCAATGACAGCCAGAAGGCCGTCTGTTGGCATCTAAAAAACATTTGACAAAAGCTGCTGCTGATTGTTTCATTTGAACTGAATTCTTGCAAAGTAGGAGTTGTAATGTATGTGAGTGTGCAAAATGATGAATAGTCATCCCCGGCCAATAAAGCTGTGGTGAAATATGGCTCTGTCTGCTTCAATTCACTTCTGCATTTATTCTTCAAGTGCAATATTTCATACAACACTCAGGTTTCTACAAACCTGTGATGAACGTCACTGCCACATTACAGCATTAATTGGCCTAATGGAGCTACTAAAATTATAACACGTTTCCATTGTCCCAGTCTTCTAAGTTTCAGCAGTGGTGTGTTGTGCATTTCCACTTCACCAACATGCTTCTCCAGAATGTATGTTTGAATGAATGAATGTGAACGAGGTCTTTCACATGTTCACAAGATTGTTTACATGTCTTTTCTTTTTCGTCTTTAGCCTGCATTTGGACAGGTGTTGGATCAACAGATCAGCTTGCTTGATGCTCAGGTAAAAATTATATCTTGTTAAAAGTTGAGGTTAATTCCATCCATTAAATCCAACCCATAGTCACCAAGTTCAGCAACTGGCTGATAACTCCTTAACAGGTCTACATCTAGATATATTTTTTTGTGCTTTTATGTTGGCAGATGTTTTACATACTGCAGAAGAAGAGAAGATCCAAAGGTAAAACTATTTATGTTTCAGGAAGGCAGGCCAAAAAGGCTGCCATTACGGAGAGGGGAGGGGGAGAAGGAATTAGTTCTGGGTACAAGTGATCAGCAGGTGGTCATAACATGCCATTTATTATCGTGCCCCCAGTGCACCCTCAGCAGCAAAAACCATGAGCGCATACCCTTTTCCTCTCACATGATAACATAAATGCATATAGCAAGAAAGATTTTTATGGACTAAGCAGTTGCAGCGTGAACAAGTGTATAACGACAAAGAGCCGGATGGCAATCAGCATCATACATAGTGACTCAAACAGATCTATTAACTCAATTCAGTCAGCCCATGAAATCTATTTGCGAGTGATTACAACTTTACTTGATCAACAAAAAGAATTATCAACAAAATTCAGTTCATTGTTCTTCAATGCCTGTCAGTATCTGGGAAAAAAATTAAGTCTACTCCAACCAAGAAAACTGTGTTAATTGAGTTGATTCCCAATATATGGGACATACTGACATACATGGCACAAATACACACCAGTTCATATTGCAAATTAATTCTGAAGTTATTATAGAAATATGCTCAGTTATATTCCACAGTAACTACCTCTGCAATATGTTGTCCAGTCCACTCAAGTCATCTATGAGGAAAATGCCCTGCCATGCCAGGCTGAGGCTGTAGAAAACATAATTCCACCCTAACACAACTACTCCCAATGTTCTGCCAAATGCCAGCTATTATATACTTACCCTCCAAGGGCTGGACTGAGAGGCAGCCTGTAATTTTTCGTCAATCTCTTTACTGTTCATGCCTTGTTTTTGAAATTAGTCACCGGTAAGAAGTGGAAAGAAAGTAGTTGCACAGGCATTATTTTGCATACAAACATTTAATTAAAAAGAGACACATGCTTACAAACTCACACTCATGCACATACGTTCTCACTTGCACACACGCACGCCCCATCGCCGGGCATGAAAGCGCCGTAGTCAGCTGTCTGCCAGTAATGATCCTTCTCTGGCAGTGCGAGTGCGTAGCATGAATATGTCGCTAACCAGCTGCAGTCACACTGCTCACACATCTGCTTTTTATATTATGTACTTGGTACATTCTGAAGCACATTCTCTCTCGATCCCTCACAATTTATTGTATACCTTTCATCCCATCCCTTGTGTCCATTTGCCGGTCTGTGAATAGTACACTGCTGCGGTTAGTTGAATAATCTTCACAGTGAGACATAGTGAAACTAACTAGACTAAACAAAGAAAAAAGACTGTGAAGCTGGCTCATGATTCCTCTACGGATACTGTCACAGCAAAAGCATAAAGACTCTTCTTGTGTCTTTTGCTGGAGCAGTTGTGGGAATTTAGCTCATTTCCCCGTCACTGAACCTTTATAAATTACTAAAACTTCAAAGTCGTACTGGTCTCATCCTAAAAAAACTTTCTGTCACCCTCTGAAAAGTGTTGAGATGGGAATGGGCAGTATGGGGTTGGAGGGTGGGCCGAGTCCGCTACTATAACCTAACATAATGTTGCCTCATCCTGAGATGTGACGTGCACATTTAACATTTAAGTGCCTGCAAAACACCAGAGACAGACATGACAGAGTGGTAGACTTTAAGGATGGAAAAGAGGGTGGTGAAAGGGAAAGTAACAACATAAAACCAACTGGAGGGACAGACAAAGGATTCTTTTAGTGGCAATCCTGATTGGCACCCAATATTGTCCCTGGGCATTTTACACTTGTAAAACTTTAATATGGAGTTCAATATCCATTTCCCCCCTCTTCCCCTCCTCTATTCTTCCACTGAGGGATTAGAGTGGCAGGGCTCAGCCTCAAAAGAAATGGGAAAATGAGTGGCAGAAGGTTGTCCAAGGAGGGAGAAGAGGTGCCAGACACGACCAGGCATCAACCTTGTTTGCTAATTGTATGTTATTGTGCATTTTAAGTGTAATATAAATGATAAAATTAATAATGAAAATCTGTTTTAACCCTTTACTCCAGGTTATCAGTAGGTGTCTTTTTCTGTAATTTTTTTATTCTTTTTCTCTGTCTCACAAGGCGATGCTTACTTGAAGATCATTTGCATTTTGTGGCTGTAATCACTGACTTCAGTTAATGACACCAAGACTATCCAGCTACAATGCAGGGTAACACATTAGAGAACTACTTATTAAAAAAACAAAAATACTTAAAATGATGAAACTAAATTCCAGCACCTGAGGTTGAGATGACCCTGTGAACAGCTGGTTGTTTTGAACAGATTTTAGTCTGCAACTATAGTCATACCAAGCATGCTATTATTTCAATCTTTTTGACTATTGGTCTTATAATATCTAAGCGTGAGGGGATAGACCGACAGATGATGGGCGGGATGATGTACAAATAGTCAATAGATGAATGACAAAAGGCATAATGCATCGTTACAGAATGTCAGACACACATAACCTGGGGTTTAACTAGTTTTTATTCACCTAGTCTTGCAGTAGTTTACAGACTGTTCCTTTAACTGGACTGCTATCATACTGGAGGGGATGCCTTGAAAATTGAAGTACAGCTTCACCTATCTTCAGCAGGAAGTGTGCACGTATGTCTGTATTGGTTGGAAGTTATAAATATATGAACACTGATGACATCTGACGAGGGCCAACAGAATGGATACTAATGAGTTGCCTCCTGTACAACCGCCACAACTCGTCTCAGTTTTTGTTAGACTGGTGGGAATGTCAATCACACCTCAACTGCCTCAGGTAACTTTATTTATATTTTAGAGACATGGAGAGATCTCAAAGCTTCATCATCAGACACAGGACTGCCTGGAGATAACCTGAGGAGAGCCGGCACTTGATACAGCTGCTGTTAGGGCTTAACAAGAGTGCCATCCTGTGGTTAAGGAAAACATCACTAATCAGAAGCTCATTTTGCTGCAGGACTGAGGCTCACCAGAAAACCGTGTGTTGTCTTTGACTGTGACTGAGCGTATCATAAACAGCCTCACAATGTTTGGGCTAATAGTGGTGCTGCTCTGATGGAAATTCAAACACCCATGGCATTGTATTACTCTCGCTTGAGTTTGAGCTAGAGTATGTTTGTGTTTTGTCTTTTCTATGATGCAGTAGCACCAGTGCAGGATATTCAAGAAAGGATAATTATTTACATATTTCATTATAGTCATGACTTTCTCAAGATGATAATGACAAAAGCAAAAGTTTTTGTAGTCTTATTTAAATACTTACTAATACTAATCACTGTCTAAAGGAAGTGATGAGCCTGAGTCACTAAATTACCCCTGCAACTTCAGCTAAATTTAAAAAAAATGTTATGAATTCATTGTTGCTCTTGTACTTTCTGCAGCAAGAGTTCACCCAAACTAAACCTTGGGAAGAGGGCTAAACAATATGCAAAAAAATAAAATCATATTGCAATTATTTTGGCAGATATTGCGATATGAGTCATGACCTCAGTTGAAATTTTCATATTTGCTTTACATTTACACTGAAATATATATAAAAATGATGATGTGTTTTTTGTTGGGGCTTGAACCAAACATGTGTGATCCTTTAAATGGGGAGAATATAATTTGTAGGCCGGGGCATCGCTGTAGTGCCTCAACGCTTCATTTATGGTTTGTTGTAACACATTTTACCTTTGTCAAAATAATCGCAACACCTGCAATTTGGATATTGCACTTGGCCATATTGCTATTTCAATAATGTTTAGATTAACTGTTCAGCCCTACTAGGGACAAGAAAAATGATAACATTCTGTTTCAAGAAAACATATATCATGATCTGATTAACGGTATTCTTACTTTGCAAGGAAGAAAGTGGAGTTTTCTCGGCTCTTACTGAAGGTGATGGGGAGGAACCTCAGCGTGATGTTCATCTTTCTGGCATTGGCTGCCAGCTTCTTTGCCTGGACCACAGGAAATTAAAATAAGTACAGTATAATGTACTAGTAAAGTACAGTATCAGAGCATATTATCATATTTCAATGACAATAAACTAAATACCTTTGGGTTTTGGGCTGACAAAAAACAGTCTGAATATGTCCACTAAAGCTTTAGAAAATTTACATGGCCATTTTCACCATATAAAAGGCATTTTACAGCCCAAACAGTTAATTGATTTGAATAAATAAATCAGATTAACTTTATGAAACTAAAAAATATCATTACTTGCAACTCTATACAGTATGCACAACACAGTATATTCTGTATATAGTAGGGCCATATTTGTAGATGTACAGATGAACAGTTTAACAGTCCCAAAACATACCATAAACAATACAACACAACAACCATCAAAACACTAATAAAGATCTCACAGTAGCAAACCTCAGACAAAACAACTGTTCAGTAAAACAGGATGGAACAGAAAGTGCCTATTCTTAGCCTTGAACAAATTTGCTGGGTCCACAGTCTGTTTGAGATTTCAGTTCAGTGGAAAAGTCAGCAGGAAAGACATCGTCTCTAAGAACAAATAGATGTAAATAGCAGACATCTGTTCTACATCAATAAATCCAGCTGTGCGAGTTTCATTAACAATTAAAAACAAAATATGACCTGAACTTCTCCTTACTGCCCTCATCTAAATTTGAAAGGACAAGCCTTTCCTTTCTGGCACTTGTGTAGCTCCTTCATGACTTCAGATTGGAGAGTAGTGAGAAACAGTAAAAGAGATTTATTAAATGCTAGGCCTATGCAAAGCTAATAACACATTACTGCACTTGCAATGATCTGGAAGAAACCCACATCCCAACAGTCATCATGTGCCAAGCTTTTACCTCTGACTGAGAATAAGCTTCATTATTTTGATTGATTTGTGATGGCTGAGAAAGAACACGCATTACTCCAAGCAATCAAATATCACTGTGATGTGATGAAGTAACAGTACAGGTGAAAGCTGGCAGGGACACTGAATATTACATAAATGAGTGTCTGTGGTTTGGAGCAACAGCAGTTAGCATTGCATAACTACAGCCACAAATTATACAAGAGTTGCAATAAAAGCACAAACAACATTCAATGATGCTGGTTTCTACAATAGTAAAGCTATGTTTTTACTTGTATTGTTTTCAAATATGTTATGTTGATCTAATATCTAAGAATGTACTAATGGATCAGTGACATCCAACTACAAATGGAGGGATCTCTGTTTGTCCTTTGAATTTCTCGACAACCTTTCTTCCTATCGACTTCAAATTTAGTGTGTGTATTGCTGAGGACCCAAGGAAGCGCAGTGTAGACTGTGAAGGTTTTTTGGATGAGTGGTTCTTGAGAAACATAAAAAACAAAACAATAAATGACAGTTGGTTAGGGCTGGGGTCAAAGCATGCAAGCTGCAGCTACAAAACCTCGCACACGATCATCTAAATCATCTGTGAATCGTTTCTAATATTTTCCTTGCTGATGCAAAAACACAGACATGTGACAAATTAAAGGGCAAACCAAAATAAAGCTTCTTAGTGAGATGTTGGGCCATCACGGGCCACCAGAACAGCTTCAATGCTCCTTGGCATTGATTCTACAAGTCTCTGAACTCTACTGGAGGGATGAACACCAATCTTCCAACAATATTGGTGTTTTGATAATGGTGGTGAGAGCGCTGTCTAACACGTCGGTCCATAATCTCCCAGAGGTATAGAACTGGGTTGACATCTTGTGACTGTGAAGGTCATAGCATACATTCAATGATTCACATCACTTTCACACTCATCAAAGCATTCAGTGACCCCTCGTGCCCTATGGATGGGGGCGATGCCATCCTGTTTCTCCACTCATTTTTCAGGTTTTTCCTTTAATTTGTCACCTGTCTGTATGTTTGTCAGTGATTTTCTCAACTACTCCAGTGATGAAATAAATCCATGTCATACCCATTTTAAAATTTAAATCAAGTTCTTAAGGAAAAATACAGATTCTCCGACACACAGTAATTAATCTACACTCACATGCCAATTTATTAGGTACACCTTTAGAAAACTAATGCAGTATAATTCAGTAGGCCTGCAATGCACCCTTCCTTTGATGATTAACAATATAAATATAAATAGGATGGACAAAATATTAGGAACACCTCTCACTATAAGCCAGTAAAACTTTTACCCCTAAGATGACCCCTTGTGTTTAGTGCTCGGTCAGCCTGTTCCTGCTGCAGGTGAAAATGGTTCAGTCTGTGAAAATCTCAACAGTGCTTTAAATGTGACTCTGTATTAACTTTACATTTAGCAGCTAAGATTTTTTAGCACTTGGAAGAACACAGTTGGCTGAACTGCCAGAACAGTTATGAAATGTAGCCCTTTTATAAAGCTTACACATGAACAACAGTGCAGAGAGGACCATCTGCTTTTAGTTGTTAAGTATCAAAACAATTCAAAACAATTCAATACATGTGTTATTATTTGAATGAACTAAAACAACGACTTCAGAAAACCTTACCTAATGGTGCCTGAATGGTATGTATGTCTGTTCCCATTCAAGTGGATGGGAAAGTGGTCTGTCCATTTATTTGAATTTCTGTTTCGTTCTTTATATAAAACTGGGTTCCTACGAGTTTTATGTTATTGTTTGTTTTTAAATTGGATTTAACAACTGAAAATAACTAGTAGCTTTGGATAAATGATGAAAACCCAATATGGCCACAGTCACAGTATTCAACAAAACACAGTTTTGTTTCCATTATACTGCTGATACTTTACTCAAAATTAGGCATGGAAGATGACTTAACCCATAAATCAAGGACCTACTTTTAAAGTGGTACGAGGAGTCTGGGTGAGCTTGTCCCTGGTGGCACCATCAGCAAATCGTCCTGTGTCCTCCAGGAATCTGTAGTCTACAGCACATGGTAAAGGACAAACAGTAAACAGACATAAAAATAAAAGAGTAGCATTTTGTTTTTATAATAATAATAATACCAATAATATAATAATAATAATAATAATAATAATAATAATGATAATAATAATAATTCCTTTATCTATTTAGCATCTTTAAAAACAAGGGTTTACAAAGTGCTTTGACATAAAAGCATAAGCATACAAGAGAACAATGGCAGAAGAACCCAAACAACAACAGCAACATATAAACCCATAAGAACCCAAGCAAGCAACCCAAGCAACACAAGAACCCAACAACATGAATTTAGACCAGGAGGACCAAAGTAAGATGTAAGATGATGTAAGCAAATAAAGGGGATAGGAAAAATAAAAAGGGATATAGACACTAAACAACATAACACAACAGAATGAGATAAAAACAATTAATACAAATAAGGACATAAAAGGGTAAAAGCAGTAAGTAATAAAACAAGGCGAAGAAGTGATAAAGGAAAAAAAAACAATAGAAACAGATAAAAACATTTGTAAAGAGATAGAACAATAAGGAATAAAATAGAGATAATGAGGATAAATGAAAGCCATAAAAACAATAAAAGGAAATAAAAGCAATACAAAGAAATTGAGGATGTTAGGGAACTAAAACAATTAGAAGAACAATAAAAATATATTATTGGATAAGAAATAAGAGCTAAAAAGACAATAAAAAGACAACATCACATAAAAGCAAGTCTGTAAAAGTGAGTTTTAAGAAGTGACTTAAAGGATGTCACAGATTCTGCACGCCTTATCTCCTCAGGCAGGTCGTTCCAAAGCCGGGGGACCCTGATGGCAAAAGCACGGTCACCTTTAGATTTGAACCTCGACTTTGGAACGACCAGGAGAGTCCCGCCCGAGGATCTAAGGCTGCAGGTTGGCTCATTTAGATGTCAGCAGTTATACAACCACTCATTAATAAAATACCCTAAAATTTACTGTGCATCTACCGTTTTTTAATATTTAAGGAACACACACCCACTGCCACCGATGACAAGACAAAATAAAATCCTTAACAAACCAGTGATGATAGTCCAACTATATTTACATATTTAAATATTATAATATATAATATAATATATAATACTTATATTTGAAATTCAACAGTGTCTACCAAAAGGTTTTAGAATAAATCATATTAATTATTAATTAATTATATTAAAATTATTCCCAATGTTTTTGGTTTTTTGTCATGTGAAGAAGTAAGGAAGATGCTGACCACTGAGAAGTGTCATTTCATCAAACTGTGAGAGGGTAACGAAGGCAGTTTTATCTCTGACTCCACTGCATCCAGAATCTTCCTTGTGTTTCTTCACACACACCATGCTGGAAAATATACACAGACAAAATGTTAAGTTATGCCTCAGTTTTCAGAAATCACTCACTTTCTATTTACGATATGTGCTCTGCATTTACTGTACTCCACTTTATTTGAGTGTACCTCTGATAAAAATCTCTGCTCGCAACTGAGTAAACTACTGAGTGTCTATTATATGGGGAGTAGTCAATGAGTGAACAAGTGGTTGATATCCCAGGGGGCTGTGTCTGAAATCAGGTCTTCATTCACTCACACAGTAAAACCTTTGTGCAGGCAGAGGAGTAAGTGAAATTCAGAGTTGGAGCTATCTGGAATTTCCAACAATATCTCTGACTTGGTGGAAACAACTACTGACATGTCAACAAACTGTTGGCAGAATGGCTGCAAACACATCACCTCTCAATGCTTAAGATTTTCAGCTTTTCCCTGTTTATATCGTTGTAAACTGAAAATCTTTGGGTTTTAGACTGATTTGAAGCCGTCACCTTGGACTTTTGAAAATCTAAAAGGCAGCATTTTCCACCCTCTTTTGGCTTTTGATCCCTTAAAATAAAGGAGCATCAACTTGTGACCATTACAGATCACTTTAAGGGTGGGGCAAGGTCAAACAAAGACTGTATCCGTAGAAACTATGTAAAAACAATGCTGAATGATGCCTGAAACTTCCTGCAACAGTGAGAGAAGCATAAGGACATCTCCTAGAGGCCTTTAATAAATGATTAATTTGTGGACACCACAGTGGCTCACCTGGTAGAGTACATACCACATGGTCTTAATCCCAACCGCAGTGGCCATGGGTTCGAATCTGACTCGTGGCCCTTTGCTGCATGTCATCCCCTCCCTCTCCCTGACTTTCCTGTCTGTCTCTCACTTTACTATCTGAATAAAAGCAAAAATGCCCAAAAAATACTTTGGAAAAAAAAAAAAAAAAAAGATACATTTGAATGAAATTTTCAGGTATGACCTTTAATATGCCATTTACTACTTCAAGGTCACGGTGTAAATGCTTCAGCTTCCACAGAACTCAGGGAACAGGTCATAAACCATTGGCATTAACAATGGCATGTTGGTGATGGCCATGAATCAAAGCAAAGTTCAAGCAGTAAAAACAAAAACACAGCAATAAGCCAGTTACGAATATTATATTTTTGCACGACAAGGTAGGAGAGGATTGTGCAAAAATTATTGTTACATAATACTTAAGTGATTACTGTTTTTTAATCGGAAAAAGCAGAGCTATTTCTTTGGTTTTTATTAGTGATATTAGACGCAGATGGAATACAGCTTTTATGTTGTATGAAATTATATGATCTCATTCTAGAGATAGAGCAGAGGATCAAGGGAAAATCTGCTCACAAAAAGAACTCATCTTATTCATGTGATCTCACTGCAATTTTAACAATATAAACAAGTATTTATCTCTGATGAAACAATAGAGGGTCTTGGCTCTTTTCTTTTAGTTCTGGAAAAATCTCCCTGCAGTCATGCTCCAAACTACTAAATTATCCAAGGTCATGGAAGAGAGGAACTAGTGCAAATTGTTAGTGTGAATATGCCATTTGAGATATCTGTTTTTCCTGTAGTCACTTTGACCAAATTACCAAAAAGTGAATACACAAGTTTTTTCTCCTTGCTTTACTGACACTATCCATAGCATAGTGTCCAATACACACACACACACACACACACACACACACACACACACACACACACACACACACAGATTCTTTCAAATCCTCCACTTTCCATCCTTGTCTTGGCTCATTATACAACTTAAGACTCTCAGGGAAATTGTTGGAAAACACCCGGTCAGCCAAACTAGGCCTTGACCTTTACACAAAGCTGTGGGCAACATCTTTCAGTCTTTGATGTCCTCAAACTGTATGCTCTCACTTTTCGTCCAATGAAAATGTTTTAGTCTATAAATAGGAGCAAGAAATGACTTCACTGAATTCAAATATATGGTGATATATATATATATATATTTTAATAATCAATTCATCGATTTAACGTTTTTCTGCTTTTTTCAGTTTTATATCTTGAACTGATTCTGGACTCTATCAGGAGATCCTATCGGGAGATCAGCACTGATACCTAGCCCTAGTTTTCTTTATTTTGCAGTAAAATAGTTTGATTACTTGTATTAAAAAAATCAATAATCTCACCTGCAGGAATGTGTAAGACAGGCGGGACACCTGTACTTTGCCTCCTCAGAGCCACACACACCACAACTGTTGGAAACACAATATGTCAACATGGTGCAGACACACGCTGTGAGCAGTTTTACAGTTAAACTGTGACAAACTGTACAGGATAAATAACAGGTAAAAAAAAGAAGCAAAACATAACCCAATTTATTAAAACATAATAAGAAAGATTAAATAGATTTTTTATAGTTGATATGCCAAAAGAAATGACTGCATCGCATCCTTTCTCCACATTCATGCAGCCAATTAATCGTTCTACCACATCCCAAAGATGTTCTACTGGATTCAGATCTGGTGACTGGGGAGAGCACTGAAGTTCAATGAACTTCAGTCTGTCATGTCCATGAAGCCAGTTTGAGCTTTGAGTTTGCAACTTTTGCTTTGTGACATGGTGCATCATCAAGCTGGAAGTAGCCATTAATCATGCCATGGTCACTGAGATCACATTTTCCCCTAATCTAAATCAATGTTTGATGTGAACGATAACTGAAGCTCCTCACCTGTATCTGTATGCTTGTATCCATTATACTGTTGCCATATGATTGGTTGACTGGACATTAGCATAAATAAGCAGGTGTACAGGTGTTCCTAATGAAGTGCTCCGTGACTATTTAACTACACTACCTCCATACTCGGCAGACATTTAGCATTTATGACCGCATTTATTTCCCGAGTCGACAGTATTTAACAGACACACCTCACATGAAAATGGATAAAGGGGAAGTTAAAGTAAAACTGACATAAAGTTAGGTTATATACGTAGCTAACTAATATCTTGCTAACTTTGTAGCCACCTGACGTCGATACACAACGTTAACCGACGTTTTGTATTTGCGTTTGATAAGAAATGATATTCGGTACAAAAACTACTAGTTAAAACCATTTAAACAAGTCTACACCAAACAAAAACTGAACCACATGAAGCTGTAGGTTAGCGGACTTAGCAGTTGGCTCCTGACTCCGTAAACTACTCACTTTGCGAGAGAAATCTTTCTTTTTGTCCCTTTCGGCTCTTCCTCCTGCACGCTGTTTTCCTCTCGGCTCTCCGCAGCTGACATTATGTATTTTGTTGGTAAAATTACAGAGCACATTACAGGAGAACTTTAGCTGCACGTTGGACACACAAGAGGAGACATCAAAACAAACCCTCTTCCGCCGGTGGCCACCGGCAGCACGTGGATATGAGTTCCGGTTGAAAACGTGCTCGGTGGCGCCTCCCGGTGTTGGTGCATCGGAACTACAACGACCTCCGTGTATATGGGGAGGATGTGTCTACTTTTCTTTCAATTCAGTTTATGTAAAGCGTTAAAATGGATGTTAAAATAAGGGATCTATATATATATATATATATGAAAAAAGTATATATATATACATATATATATATATATACACACTTTTTTTCATTAAAAGATTATCCCAGCGGAGGCCGGTGACATTTGCATATAAATTTCGACTGACCCAGTGTTTACTTTCTTCACTGCCACATACTGAAAAGTCTGCCATCAATCAGAGCTCCGCTTTGTGGAGAGAAGAGATGCAGGACAAGATGAAGAGATTGAGAGAAAAAGAAGCTGAGGTCATGGAGATGAGAGGGGAAGAGCAGGTACACAGAAAAAAAATCAATGTAACATCTTCAATCAACGCAAATGCTTGTTTGTTGCAAGTGAAATGTTCCCGTTCTACTGGCTGTTATCTATAATAACGTAGGTAATATTTACCCTATTTAATTGCTTTTTTTCCCCTTGTTTTTCACGGCTTAGTTTTTGCAGGGCCCAGAATAGGATTACATCCCTGTGTTGTTACACACAAACAAAAACTGATTGACCTGATCACATCAAACAATGTAAGCCTATTACCACAGATCTAAGCAGAATGTTCTTTGGTAATTACAGTGGAAGCTATAGGCTCAGTTTAACAATAATAAAAACCTAGCATAATTACAGTATCATAATATAGTTTTATTGTACAAATATATTATTGTATAAAACAAAATTTGCTTACATTTATGTACTGTTTCAGACACATTTGTATAATTTCCACTGACATGGTTTTAAAGCTATTGTTATCCAAAGTTCACCCTCAAAATGTCTTAAAATGCACATATGTAAATCAGGGAAGTGCAATTTACCAACTTACTGTATGACTTCAACTATAAAAAAAAAATTTAAAAAAAGGAGTACAGAACCGTTTGTGGATAAAATGCTCCATTTATTTGTTTACCAACTTATTTATTATTTACACATTAGCATCCAACTTTATCCGCCACAGACTTAATATAATTACACTTTGTTCAAGGTAATATAACTTACGAATATGAAAAGACTGTGTTGTGTGTTTTCTGACTCTGGCCTACTGTAGCTGCCAGTCCACTGACCCACCACTGAATGAACTGAAATAACAGTATGATAAACATAAAGTCACAGGTGTGAACACACAAACACACCTTTAGAACATAAATACTTCTTTAGACTGTGTTGTGTTTGTTGACCAAATAGTTCTCTGAGAGTATAATTTACTGTGATACAGTGATGTGAGCAAAAAAAACAAAAAAACAAAAACAAAAAGGATATAAATAAACATACAGTATACTGTCAATATATACACAGGAAATGTAAAAACTCACTGATGACTCATTCTTTGTTGCAGCACCAATGATAGGTTTCCCCTGAAGAACCTACCACAAAGAAGGAAAAGCTACAAAATATGTAGTGTATCAAAAATGGTTCATAAATTAGAAATGACCAAACCAACATAAGTACTTATACAACATAACAAATCTTGATGTAACCGGTACATACAACACAAAGGCAAAAATGACTAACTTGACATTAGCAACTATTCTAGAAAGCAAATGAGCAGGTAGAGGTAGAGCAGCATCTGTCAAGATGAACAGGCCCGGCTGGACAGGACCGAAGACAAACATATCATGAAAACAATGTAAAATATAGCCTTTGATTGGAAAATGAAATATTTAAAGCAGTCACACATTATCCACATGCTATTGCACTCATATAAACCTTTAGTTAGACAGTGCTCCTATGAAGAGGCCTGGCACACTCCTTCGGGTTTGGCCCCTGTGTAGGATGGTCTGGGTGTGTTTGGGCGTGAGGGGTGAGGGGGAGGTGTGAGTTTTGGGGTTTGGATAGGCTGCTGCTGCTTAGTGGGGCCCTACCCTGTGATCAGGGACAAATATGGGTCCATATACAGCCAACCTAAGCACCATTTGACTGTAAATTAAAACATATTTTACACATTTATTTGATAAATATCGGTATACACTGTTCTCCTTTGGCCTTCTTGGCCTGGATGTTCCACAGAGATCGAGTTGTTCCTCATAGGTCTGCCTTCAACTGAACACTGGGTATTTGCTACTCTCACAAAGTCCCATTTGCTCTCTACAACGAACTTGACAAACTCCCATGGACACTTGCTCCAGCTTGGTATTCAAGCTTTTCTTTGGTAGACAGCCATTTTTAAACAGTCTTGCATTTAAATAGTTTATGTAAGTAGGTCACAGGACGGTGCTGTTGGTGTCAGAGGAAGCAGACTGGACCAATTTCTATATGTTGCTGACTGTTGGGCTGTGATGTGGGAAATTCCTGCATGTCTACAATAGGTAGCTGACGACTGTCCTGAGTATGGAAGAAGAAACGTGACTGGTGCCAGCTGCCATCTTGGATCTGACAGAGGAAGGATGAAGGAATAGAAAAGATGAGTCAAATGATTCATATTCCAAATTTACAATATACATTTCATACATATCATATTTGATATATTAATATGAAAAATGTTTTATTCGCTGGATAAACATAACAAACATAATGGTTCCTTCAACATAAAAAGAGCTGTGTTGTGGAACTATCTGCAAAGCAGCTCTGTCCAAATCTCTTTATTCCCTGATTTCTATAAAGGTTATCAATGCTTGGGACACTCCAAGAGAATGAGGAAGAAATGAAAATCCTGTAGGCCAAAACAAATAATGTGTTGAATCACTTCTCTGTCCTGCCTGTTACCTTGCACTCGTCTTGTAGCACATGTGGTTCAAGTAGTGTGTCTTTCTCAAACATCTGTTTGTTCCAGCCACGAAAACGAAGTGTGGAGTTTTCTTTGTGTGTGGTTCCGGTGGAAGTGAAGCTGTCCATTGTGACATAAGGTGGATCATTCAGGCAGTGGAGTGTGATGCTGTGGCTGGCCTCAGTGCTTAATAAATGGAGAAATTTCATTTGGACTTTCCCTACACCAAACACCATCTGTGGGAGAGAGAGCAGAAGATGTAGTGTGACTAATCTGTCATGCTAACCACAGCATGATAAGACTTTCAAATGACTGAAAAAATTACATAATACACAGTGTAGAGGATGTTTGCTGTTGCTGGCTATCTAAATGGAAATATTTGGGATACATTAATCTAAACCTTTGAAATACACACTGAAGGTTAGGGCTTAAATTAATATCGGTGATGCTCTAATGTACAGTCTATTCTAGATGTGGTAAGGCTCAAAGGTGAAAGTCACAACAAATACTCTCCTGTCCTGTCATGGGAAGATTCAACCTTTAGTTATCTCACCATTTCTCTATATTTTAGCTTTATGGAAAGTCATAGTTCAAATATCCCCTCTATTCATCATCTTGAGGGTCAAAACTCTTTTTATCACTTCATTGTTACCTTATTAGAGGCCAGTGGATGTAAGCAGGTCTGTCCCCCTGCGGTAAAGTTGCAAAAGACCTTGAAGGCGTCAGAAGTACAGCCCAGATTTGGATCAATCCAGAACCAATCTGAAAGTCCCCATTCAGACAGAAGACATAGAAAGAAAAGAACAGGGAGAGCAAGACAAGTGGTTTTATAAAAGTATATACACACCTGTCTATATGCCTATAAAGCTGTCTTACAAAAAACATGTTATGAAAATCCTGCCATCCCATCATTTCAATACCAGGTGGACAAGTCTCACCATCTTTGAGCTTGTGTTGACAGTCCAGCAGATCTTTACATACACGAGCTGGGTTCTCCTTTGTGCCCAGAGGCTTTTTGATGCTCTCAATCACACTGCTCAGGTAACGCAGAGTCTTCACTATCTCCGTATTCTGGTCTGGCAGGGACATCTCTGTGTTCTGGAAACTCTGGTTAAGAATGAGAACAACAACACTGTGAAACTCCTAAATGATATAGCAAATCCCTTGATTGCAGTTACAATGCCAACAAGTGAAGAATAGAATTTGTGAAGAACTTTGAACTCTCAACCGTACATCTGCCAACTTCTCTGCCATCCATCCACAATCCGCCCATGCAGCCCTACATGCAGTACACTGAGAGCATTAAGTGTCTTACCTCTGTCCTGAGGGCAGCATTAGAGTCTGATAGACTGTAGACTGCTGAGTCATCGTATATCTGCCTCTGGATTGAAAATCAGCATATTTAGTTTAATGAAAAACATAACAGGTCCAGTATCCTGTTCCTTATTAAACTGAAAGATTTTAATCCATAGGCTTCTTCAATGGTTACAGAAATCATGGAAGTTTCATTACACGTCCAGTTTATAGAGAAAACTTTAATAGAATCAGAGCACACTTTAATACCAGAGAAAAGCAGTAAAATAAGTCTTCCATCAACAAACCATCACATTCCTGACTTCAGTAGGGGGGAAGACTAACACATTCCACTCAGCATAAACACAGTTATCACATAATATGTATCAACAAAAGAGGCATCTGACAGACTTAGTTTTTCTGGGCTCTTCAAATTGTTCAAGCAGGACAAGGCCATTCAGATAGCAAAAAGCTACACTTTATCCAGAGTTATGACAGATTAGAGATGTGTGGGGGGTTTCTATCACATCCTCAGAAAAGGCTCATCATTTATCTCCACTGTCAATGCAACTGAACAAAATTACAAAGATTGTTTTTCCATGTCTTATCACTGGCCCAAATGATTTGTTGGCTCATCTATAGTTTAGCAAATAAGCAATAAAATTCTTTCCCTGGCTTTAGAACATCCTGTCTTTGCTCTGCTGTCAGAGAAATGGAGACTTTTCTCTCATTTTCTGAAAAGTCTGGGGCAGGCACAAATCTTGGGTTGCAGAAGAGATGTAACAGGATTACTCTCCAGCCAGAATGAGATGAAGACAGAACAAGATGAGGAC